TCTCTCTCTCTCTCTCTCTCTCTCTCTCTCTCTCTCGGTGGGTGTGTTCAGGTCATTAATTGGTTCTCTTTATTTGTATTTATTTTATTTTATTTTGCAGAGTTTGGACCTCTAATTAATAACCTATTACATAGGCTGGCTGCAGATATAAAGTCATGAAGCAGAAATATAAAACTTGGCAATTTTTTTTGAAAATTCCCAACTTTAGCCACCTGCACTTTACCATGACTTGCAGATGACGTGTAAATGTTTAGTCAGTGATTTATTGCCATTTAGATAAAGATTTATTTAGTCATTAGTCACAACTTCGACATGAGTGTGGCTTTTCGAAATGTCCTCATCTACTTTTCATATTTTTTTTATTCACTAACACTGACCTGTTACGTTCATTCAGTTCTTTATTTATTATGCCTTACCTCAGAAGGCACTTAAAGTTACGTTCGCTCACAATTATCTCTAAATACAGCAGCTGTATTGATCAGTTTATTGATCGAAGAGTAGAAATTTATGGGCGCTGTTTCCATTACGGGCGTGAGCGTTCAACCGCGCTAGTTTCTGTGGCGGCAGGCGAGATGAGAAGGCGGGGAGGGGGAAATGTTCATGTGCGTCGTCGTGAAAGTAGTTCCGGGCACTTAACCCGAACCGAGGAGGAGGGGAGGGAGAGTCCCGGATGTTGGCTCGAACKGGAGAAGGCGGAGAAGCTGAGGAGGGACGCCACGGCACCGCAGGCACACCGGTGAAGAAGCGCCTTGCACAAGAGGACAACAACGTCAAGACACACAGGACACTCCTGGAGGAAGAGGGGCTGTGGGGGACACCTTATCTCGAGAAGGGGAGGTGGACGGAACAGGAGACGGGTGCTCTKAAACTAAACGCTGGGATTTACAGGGAGAGCCACGGTCTCGGCTGCTTTCATCCAGAGTAAGTGAGCTACACGGGAATGGAAGTTGAACTAGGGCCCATTAAATGGTCGACTTTGACGGGGGAAGTGAGCCGCAGTGAAGTTCTGGGGATTGAGCCCGATGAACAGGCCCTTGACACACAGCTTTCCGCTTGTTGTGGCGGTGGAGCTTGCGAGAATACATATTTACATTTTCTCTAACAAACCCGTCTTGTTTTCCGCCCCGGTGGTCAGTGTTTTGTACACTCCGGACGTGTTGCTGTAACTCTCCAGAGTTGACAGCTCTGCCTCGCGTTAGCCTGCTAGCAGCACTGTGTGCAACCGGTGACAACTGACTGGGCAACTTTGACAGCCAGCTACTAGCCAAGCGTCGGGTGAGCAGCTAACTCAAGCTAACTTAAGGTTGGCGCTCTTTTCAAGTATCAGGTGTGCGTGTGTTTTCCCCGCATTAAGAAGGATTTAATGACCTATTCCAAACCTCCTGCAGCTATCGTCAAGCTAGCTGTTTGGTATGTGAGACGGCTGTGTGTCCAGCATGAAAGTGCAATGTGTGAGCCCAGTGTCTTTTGGCGTTCCTGCGTGCTCCGACTCACAGCTGTTGCAGTGTGTTTTCTCGTCTGTCAATCGTCGGTTTCACATGCGGCTAATAAATTCCTGCACAAATATAACGAGGCTCATCTGTTGACTTCGTATGACGGCGCGCAGGCTTGTCGTGTGGCCGGACAATCAACAAGTGCAGAACAGCTTTCGGATTAATTTCATGCTACTGGTTTGGAGGCTGTCCTGTGCTGCGTCGTTTTATAGATTTTCATAGGAACCCATAGTTATGGGCATCTTTTCATATCGTGATCGGTGTGTCCTTGGTTTACTCCAATGGCCTTTATTAGAGGATGGTTGACTGCACTCCTGATTTGCTCGATGTCACCTTGTGCAGGTTTTCAACAACTGTTTTTTAGTGTTGCTTCAGCGAGGCACAGCACTGTAGCAAATCATCAGGTTCACTATGACTAAAATATTTTACCATAAAGTCAGCATAATAAGCCTGATTTCTCTCTTTCTCAACATACCAAACGCTTCAACTAACAAAATGCCCACAGCGTTAGTCAGCACCCACAATCAAAGGTCAGATCTGGTTTGCTCCTTAATCACCCATCCTTTAAATAGCAGGCCCACAGAGCTGTCTGGATCGAGGCTATTTGTGCATGCAGCTGTGGAGGACACATGGAGTTTTAGTTATGATGGTCTTCCAGGTAAGCACAGCCAAAGTAACATTCCTTTGGAAAATTAGGTTGTCACTTCAGGTTTATATAACCCCACCATTATAGCTTCTGTTGGTCACACTGGTTTCAAAAAGTAATTCTCAAGAGAACTCAATTGAAAGTTTCTGTCAGTTGGGCTTTGTTTTATTTTTTTATTTTTTGTGATGCAAAGCTGAAACACATCTCAGTTTTTTCACCATCTATGCTTTAGTCATCTGTGTTCCTTAAATTTAGACATATCATACAACTGAGATTTTATGTCAAATTAAAACAACCGTTTCACTTTATGTGTATATTAATTGTACATATTCGACTGAAAATAGCAACCATAACAGCACAAAACTAAGCAGCCGAAAAAAAGAATAGGCTGAAGCCCAAGTGTACTTAACCCCAAACAGAAACTCAAAAAGATTCACACACAATTTCACAAACCTTAAAGACATTCGCTTATCAGTTTACATTCTAACCATAATTATCTTACATTTTTAGTTTAATTTAAACAAATCTTGAAACAGCAGAAGTCACGTTCTGTAGATTTTTACTGGCTCAAGAGAAACAGAACCAAAAGCACAAATTCCTTACTATAATATAAATTACATTGTGCAGTTATTATCAGTACATATTAGTATATTAAGTTTATGTATATTTTTTGAACTAAAATAATTACAATGCCAAAATTGGAAGGTTTTATTGTTGTTTTTCTTTTCAGGTTTTAGCCTTTTGGTGCAGATTTTGTGACTTTCTGTAAAAATATTTTGAAACACCTTTTACGCCTGTAATGGACTAAATGGTTTAAATGGAAAGAGTGGGTAGAATAAATGATGTTACTTTCATTATAAGCAAACCTGTTAATGTGAATGGGAGGATGTGATACTGCTTTTAAATGTTGGTTCCATCCTGCAGCGTTCTAAGAAAACTGCTTCTCTCAGTAAATGAAAAGCATGACAGTTTCTTTTCTAAGATCTTATGGTAGTAAGTGTGTCAGAATTTTCTCTTTTAATGCACTTTTATTACATCTGGTAAAATCAGTGAACTTGTCAGGGCCAGCAGGGTGCCTAAAGGAACCAAATGGTGGTCAGAGGCTACGTTCA